TAAGGATCATAGAATCACTTTTCAGGATGATTTTTACACTACCTCACACACAAGCACATAGAAATACTTGCTTGCAGGGAGAGAGGAATTAACCTTGGGAGGCGGAGAATCTACACTTAGGAGAACACGTTTGAAAGGTGACCCAGTACACAGAGGGAATTTATTTCTGCTGGGGTGGTTGATGTATTAAGAGCAGACAGAATGAGGGGGCCTCCCTGGTGGTGTAGGGGTTACATCTCAGTGCTGTTAATGCTGTGGCCTGAGTTCGATCCCCAGGCAGGAAACTAACCCACTTATGGTGTGGCAGACCTCTCCTGTTGTGCCTGCTGATCCCCTTAGCTGCGTGCTTCAGTAGATCCACCTGTACTGCTTCCCACTTTCCAGTGGCTCCTCTCATCCCCTGAATCTTTGACCTACACCCCAGTACTTCTATTCATCAGTCAATCTTTTAAATTACAAACTATGGTCTAGAAAATTGTCCATAGGATTCTTCCTATGGAAGCAAGCTCTGTAAGTTCCTCACAGGCAGGGAATACAGCTTTCAGAGTCTCCATGTCACAACAGATTGGTTATAAAGCAAGTTTTAAGACAAGTGTGTTTTCTTGGGGATATTCAGTTGATAAAATCACACAGATCATGGATTTCCACACATGAAAGGAAGCCTTACAATGTGAACTAGCTGGAAAGAGTAGAGATATTTCTAGTGCAATCTAAGGATTTAGGTTTCTGAAATCCACAAAACCAGAAAGATCCAAGGGAAAATTAAAGCTAGAGAGTTTGGAAAATTTAACCAGCAATGGCTATTTGAGCTTCACAAAACTCACACAAAGGGAAGTATTTACACAAAAGAAAGGAAAAAGAGAAGTAGGTTTGGACACTTAAGACTGAAAAGAGTTTCAGAGGTCCTCAGACCATCAGTGTACACAGACCAGTGCCCAACTGAGCCTGAAGGCGATGGGTCTTATGTGAAAAGTAAACTCACAGAGGTTACATGGAATGGGGCAGGTGGGTTTAAGTACAAGGGCTAAATCTAGTCAGGTTTCAGAGAACGATCTGAAAGGACTGGGAGAAATTTGGACAAGACCTGAGAAGACTACCAGTTGATCCTATAAAAGGCCTGCCCCAGACCCTCTCCCTGGGGCAGGGGGCGGAGGGTGACACACCTCTGGGACTCTCAGGAGGTCTTCCCACCCCTTATTAGAGGGGAGAGACCCAGCTCTTAGGGCTCCAGATGTGAAGACTTTCAGTCCTCCAAACCCCTATCACTATGCCCCTCCGCAGTCTAAGGGTGTTCTCAATGTAGCTGGGACTCTGGCACCCAGGCCCAAATGGCCCTGAGTCTTTCTGGATGGCCAGCCTGGGCTTTGCTCATGTGACGGAGGGAATACAATTCCAGGTTCTCAGGCCAGGCCTGCCTACTTTGCCCACCCTCGGCAAGGAAGGGAGGCAAGAGCAGGAATCACTTTCCACTACCTCCAATGAGGTGGCTCAGTCACTTAGGGCTACCTCCCAGGAAGCCCCTCCTTGTCCTTGGTATCTGCTCTCTCCAGGTACCCAAGGCTGTCTGTTCCTGCTGAGAAGCCCTTTTCTCCCTTCTCCTTTAAGAAATGCCTTCCCACTCTTTAAGTTCAGCTCAACTTGCCCTGGATGGAAAGCCCAAGAGAGCTGCTCTTGCACCTGTGCTTCTAGGAGGGTCTGGCCCAAGCTAGGTGACTGCAGAGCCTCAGATATGCTTTCTAGGCTTCCCTGGCGGCACAATGGGTTGAGTCTCAGCACTATGAAACCATTAGCAGACACTGCAGCATGAGTTCGATCCCAGCCATGAAACTGACCCACACAGAGCAGCAGACCTCTACTGCCTCGCCCACTGCTCCCCTCAGCAGTGTATTTCAGTAGATATGCTTGTTCTGCTCCCGACTCTGACTCTGGTGAATCCTCTCACCCTCTGCTCCTCTGGTCTACACTCCAGTTCTTGTATGCATAAATAAAACTTACAAAAAAAATAAGTGCTTTCTAGATGGGTTACAGCAGGAAACCGCTAGCTGTTGTGACCCATGCATTCATCTGTTTGCTGCATGCCCTGAAATGCACAAGTCTTCTTGCAACCAGTGGCATTCACCTACCAATCTCTGAGTATCCTAACTGTGCAGGAGACAAATAGAATTGCAGATGCCTGCACTGAACAGATAGGGATTGAGCAGCTTTTGATGTTCAGCAAACCAGACCATGCAAAGGGCTTCTCCCAGTAGCCTTACATCCTACCGGGGAACTTATATTCTCATGGGTCTGGTCATGGAAGATTTGGCCCTTGACCTCGAGGAGGGCACAGCAAGTTCACCCTAACATATGCCCGGCCAAGTAGAAGAGGTGCCCTCCTATTGTGGGAGTCTGGCTGTGAGGTGGTACATGTATTAAGGCAGCAGGGTCAAGTTTCCCTGTAAGAGAAAGATCGGGGGAGAGGCCTGCATGGGCTTGGTAATGGTACAGGCTACTTGGGAAGAGTATTCTGAAGTGTGATGTGCCTGAAGCATGATCTCAAAGGGGTAGAGGGTGACCTTGGCTCCTGAGCTCCCCGCTTGTGGTTTCTACAGCAGGGCCCAGGGCAGGGGCTGAGTGTGGGTTAGATACCAGTGATGACAAAATGCGAGGCTGCAGGCTTATGTCCCTTACTGTGCCTCCAGTGGCTACCTGGCCCTGATCTACCCCACCTGACAAAGATCTACCCCAAACAGGAGAAGCCTAGGGATAGCCTGGATTCATGAAGAACAAGACAATTGTATCCCTTCTAGTATCAACTCATTTGCAGAGGTAGGAATGCAGGGTTTGTAACTGTAGGTGGCACTGCCATCTTGGGAAGATGGAAGCTCGCACCGTTTGGGCTGAGAGTGGAGATTTCACGTGTCAGTTGTCAAGGCACTAGGGGCTAATGGCTACCAGGGTATTCTGGATCCTACACAGTGCCCGGGTCTCCTCAGCTTTGCAACAGGGGAACCTCTTGGGTGTTGACAGTGGCAGCTGGCACACATGCCTGCGGCATTCCTGAAGGTGGCAGAGTCTACTTTATCCTTGGTTATTTTTAGATGATGTTTTTGCTGAAAAGGAACTTCTCATAGCTTTTTGCCAAGGAAGAGTTCCACAGTGTTGGGGGTAAACAGGGAAAGATTTAAAGAGTTAGTTTAAACTGGGCAGGGGATGGACCCACAATATGGAGTATCAGATACCACACACACAGCAAGGATGCAGAAGTAGGGCCCAAAGACATGTCTGGTCTGCCTGCTGAGCTCAGAATGTGCCTCTGACCTACTCTTGGGAAAGACTGAAAAATAAGCCTTGGTTTCCTCCCGAGTAAAAGGAATCCAGTGGAAATGATGCATGTGACTGCAATGACTGGAAATTAAAGTGCTGGGTTTTCCATTCTGTTCACTGAAATTCCTGGATTGCTATGTAGAGTCACACAGGGGTGGCCACACAACTTCAGTCCTTTGGGCACCCCCATCTGGACATCTGACATGGGAATGGAGAAGCCCAGTTGAAGGGCCCTCAGACCAGCATTCCAACTGCCCCATCTAGGGTCCCAGGTCCTCTGGTGCAGCCTCTCCTCTGCTGATTGTGAGCTACCTAAAGTGGCGACTGGGTGTGTGGCCATTGGGGAGTTTGCTTTGCAGTCGTACATCACCAGAATGGAATGAAGAGCATTCTGGAGGAGAGCGAATGCCAACAGAGCTGGGAAAGCACAGTGATATATACCTAGTCCAGAATTTGGCCTGGGGCCTGTCCAGATCAGCAGCCACTCCTTAGATGCATCTTCACACACACATCGTCCCCACTCACCAAGTGCCCGGGCATAAGGCAAATCAAAAGCTTTCTATCCACAGGGTCTGCAGAGGCAGATTCTGGGCACCGGTGGGCATTAAGAGTCAGAAGGGGGCCCTCCCTGGTGGCTTGGCGGGTTAAAGCACAGCACTGAGAAGCTAAAGCCGCTTCTGCATGAGTTCGATTCCCGCCTGCCCCAGAGGTGACCACATGGTGTGGCAGACCTCTCCTGACCCGCCCGCTGCTACCCTCAGCAGTGTACTTCATAGATCTGCCTGTTCTGCTCCCCGTTCTGTCTCTGGTGAAGCCTCTCACCATCCCTGAGCCTCTGGTCTGTACCCCAGTTCTGTATGCACAAATAAATAAATCTTTAAAAAACA